TGTTCTACATCTGCCCTGCCCGATATGGTAGCCACCAGCCACATGTGGCTATGGAGTACTCGAATGTGGCTACTGCAACTGAAAAACTGGATTTTTTTTTTTTGCGGTACGCGGGCCTCTCACTGCCGTGGCCTCTCCCGTTGCGGAGCACAGGCTCCAGATGCTCAGGCTCAGCGGCCGTGGCTCACGGGCCCAGCCGCTCCGCGGCATGTGGGATCTTCCCGGACCGGGGCACGAACCCGTGTCCCCTGCATCGGCAGGCGGGCTCTCAACCACTGCGCCACCAGGGAAGCCCGAAAAGCTGGATTCTTTATTTTATTTTCATTAAACTTAAATGTAAGTAGCCACACGTGGCTAGTGGCTACTGTATTGCACAGCACAGCTGTATAAAGCCTGTCATCCAAAAGATCAGACGTGCAGACAGCCTCTGGATGTTAGATACCGATGAGTAATGGACTCTTCCAGGCTATCTTGTCTAATCCCTTCTTTCCTGTGATGGAGAAACAGAGGCACAGAGAGGGGAGGTGATTCGCCCAAGGTCACACAGCCATTGCCAAGCTGGAGGGGCCCAGCCAGGTTTCCTGGCTCCTAGTGCAGAGCTCCTTCCAGGACCTATCCCCTCCACCTTTTCCAAGCACCTCCCGACAACTAGTACCTGTAAACCTGGGACATCTCTGCTTAGCCACCAGCACCCCCCCTCACTACATGACCCTGCACCCCTACTCACTCCAGCAGCCTCCTTCCAGCCAGGCATCTCAAGGAGCTGACTTCCAGCCAGTGCTGCGTTGATGGCTTGATCAACTGGGAAGCTTATAATACACACACACACTTTCCAGGGTCCATGGATTCAGAGACAGCCAGAACCTGTGTTTCTCCCACTCTCCCTGAGGGTCGCTGAGGTCCAGGTAAGTGTGCCAAGTGACCAGCTCCAGGATTCCCCACAACTAAGGGAACCAGCAGGTGGGACCTGACCCAGAGGCACCAATCAGAGGGCTGGTGGGAACCTCTGTCTGCACCTGAGAAGCGCTGGCCCATCAGAAACGCTCAGGACTTTAAACCAAGACCTGGGAAAATAACGTGTCAGCTAACAGGGAGGCGGAAGCGGTCAGGGACCAAGGAGGGGTCAGGGTCCTGGTGAGCTATCCCCAAGAGATACCCAAATTATGAGGGAATAGAGATGACACAGGAGAGGCGGGGCACAGGTGGACGGGAGGGGGTCTGGGGCAGACGTGCAGTGGAGGCAGCAGTGGGGTGCCTGAGAGCATCCCATTCCTGGACCCGCCCACTACACATGCAACCTTACGCCCACCCCTTCCCTCAGGCAACTTGGATCTCCTGGGGTCTGGATTTCCAAGGGAGCCTCAACTAAACGTCCCTCCCCTTTTCTCGATGCTTGGCCCCTGGGTGAGCTTTGTGAGTGGCCCCGGGCTGTGATTCTGGCCCCTCACCCCAGAGGGAGCCACCCTCAGGGGGAAGACCGGGATCCCACATGGCACCCCCAGCAGGGCCCAGACAACGAGCAGAGGGCTACTGTCCACCTCAGCAAGCACTAGGGCAAAACCGCCCTCACCCTGGGACACCATCGTGGATGCATTTTGAGGGAGAGACCTCAACCAATGGGACAAGATCTGGAATGCCGCTGTGGCTCCGAATGGATTGACTCAAATGGATCCAAATGGGTCGACGCTTCTACTTAAAGGACGACCATGTCTCTGCTGGCAGCTCTGGCCCTCAGTGCTCCCTGGTGAGGTCATGGGCCTTGGAGGTGTGAGAGATGGGGACCTCAGGTGCCTCGTCAGGTGGGGCCCCAGGATGGGGCAGCCTGTACCCGTTGGGGTTCCCAGCAGGCAGGTCACGAAGCGGGGCTCGCAGCTCTATTTATAGAAAGCAGCTGCTGCTGAGGAGGAAGAACTGGGGAGAACTGGCTCGGCAGTGTTTTCCAAGCTCACCCTGTCTCGGCTTAATTTCATCCCAAGCAAATAAATCATTAGGGAGGCACCGAGTCCAGGGAGATCCGATGAAGCAGGGCCATTAAACGGCACAGGCTTAACGTGAATTATGGACGGCCTCAGACAAGCAGCCTTATTAGTGTCTGGGTTAGGCCATAACTCATGCTAACCGCCCCCTGGTCTTAACCAAGTGAGGAGATGGGGAGAATCAGCCGGCTCGCTGGCCGCAGGCATAGCCCAGCAGGCTGTCTGCTCTCCCAGCGGTTCGAACACCCTCCTGCAAATGTGCTTTGCTCTGTGCCTTGCCTTCCCGGCAACACCCACTCCCACGGGCAGGGGTGAGGACAGATGATCTGGCTGTGCGGTATTTAAGGGTGCTCACAGGCTGTGGCAGTGGGAGCCGCCGGCACCATCGCGTCGGGGAGCCCTTCTGCGGAGCGCAGGACAGCCGAGGCCTGGGACCACCCACAGAGCCACGGCAGACTCACATGACCCCGAGCGGCACGGAGGTGAGAGGTGTGGGTTCAAGATTGCCGGATGGCTGCCTGCCAAGCTCCTGCCATGAGCGGGCTCTTCATCCCCCCTCAGCCTCAGTCTCCTCACGAGTGACATGGGAGAGCAGTGCCTTGTCATCCGTGGATGGAACGAGATAACACGCACAGAACGCTCACGGGCGTTTGCACGGGGCTGTGGCAGTTTAAATCAGATGGCGCACGTGCCGTGCTGAGCTGTGCCTGGCCTCTTGTTAAGTGCTCACGCGATGACTGTTTTAACACGGAGCTGTTTCTATTTGCGGTAATCCCTTCCCAAACGAAGTCGCCCTCGCGGGAAATTCATGCATAAGAGTATGGATTCACTTGGCGACGAGCCGTCCTGGAGGCCTTGCCCTGTGCCCCTCCCAGCGGCACCCAGGCCAGTCCCACCGACGCCCGTCGGCAGGGGTGAGAACGAATGGTCTGGCTGTGCTGTATTTCAGGGTGTTTCCATGCAGTGGCAGCTGCTGACACCGGCTTCAGGAAACCCTTCTGCTGAACAGACTGCCTGATGCCTCAACAGGCTATATCATCAGCGTCGTTAGGAGCTTGTCAGAAATGCAGTCTGGGGCCCTACCCAGACCTGCTGAGTCAGAACCTGCTTTTAACAAGATCCCCAGCGGACGTGAGCGGCACGTGAAAGTTTGAGGTGCGCAGCCGACTACAAGTCTATGGCGAAGTCCCAGCATCACACCCACTGTACAGGATGGAGAAGTTAGGAAACCTATGCCCGGGTCATCCAGGTAGTAAATGGAGAGATCAGTTATGTCTGGTCCTGCCGGCGCTGAAACCCCTAGTTCTGTGGTCTGAGCAGGAGGGGGTTATCTGACATGTGGGAGGCACTGAGAGGCCACGGAGGGTCTTCCTGTGTGTGGATGTGGGAGTGGGGAGCACCTCTTCTAAATTGCACCCAAGCTCCAAAGGCCCTTCCACCCTCACCCATCATTCTCCTCCTGAACTCCTACGTCCTCCTTCACCTATGTCGGGCTTTTCAATATGGACTCATAAACGGCACTGAATGCTTATTCTCTTGTTTCTGGCAAGGTGCACTGTCAAGGAGGGATTGGAGGCCTGGGTTTTAGTCTGGTTCTGCCGCTCATTAGCGGGTGACCTCGGGCCAGTCCTCCCAACTCTCTAGTCCACTCAGCTCCCACCTGTAAAATGTGGGTCTTGCACAGGCTGCTGAATGGCCCGTTCCAGCCCTAAAGCCTGGGGCCTGTCTTCAAGCCCTGCTAGTCCCAGAAAGGTGGAGACCGGCCATCTCCTCCTCACTCCCTTTCCTCCATGGTCCAGTAGCGGCCAGCCCGCAGCCAGGCCTAGCAACCATCTGTTCAGAGGCAGATGCTGGTCTTCAGGCCCACCACCTCACAGCCCATCCCCGCTGAACACATGTGCGGGCACAGCTGGCGAGGACACCACTTGTTTGGACATCCGTGCTGAACACATGCTCACCAGGCAAGTCACCCGCGGGAGCTACAGAGCGCTTGAGCCAGACATTTAGCTGGAAGCCTTTAAGGCTGCTCGCAGGGAAGGCTGAGCACTCCCAGCTCACCTGTGACGAGCTCACAGTGGCCTCTGGACCTCAGGTGGCATTTCCTTCATGTATCCTAAAGAGAAAAGAGTCCAAAACCTCCCCAGACCAATGTATTCCCTTGTGTGGAATCCCTCAGAGCTCACAGTGTGGACCCAAATTGAATAACAATAATTATTTCCACATCCAATAACACTAAGTAACTTTAACAGCCTACGAGAGCTATAATAGTTACAACCGGCAATTTTTAAACCTACCTTTTTCAGTATCTTCTATGTGCCCGGCACCAGCCTAGTCACTTGCCATATATGACCCACGATCCCGATGGATCGTGGCAAAGTCAATTTCTATTACTATTACAGATGAGGAAACCGGCTCAGGGGTGAAGTGACTCGCTCAAGGTCACAGCTAACGAGCAGCCAAGTCAGGACTGGGCCCGGGGCTGGGAGATCCCTGAGCCGCAGTTCTTCCCATGACACCAGGCTGTGAGCCTCTGAGAAAGACGGCAGCAGCTCTGCGGTGGCCCACGGTGACACCTGTCCCAAACGGGCCTGCGTTTCAAAGCTCCCTTCTGCAGGCAGGACTTCCTGGACTGAACCTACTCATGATTGTGTTAATTGTGGGGAAAAAAGCCCTCAAAGCAGGGCCACAGCGTCTGAGTGAAACCTTTTTTCAGCTGAAAGTCTGTTCCTTTTTAGTGGGAAACAAAGGGTAGGGGCCAGTTTCTGAATGCTGAGATCCTGAATTGAATTGCTGGGCCATCATGCAGCCTCTGCTTGGCCCGGGTGTGGGGACAGATGTGCTGTGCACGGTGCACAATGAGGGGTGGAAGTGGGTCACTCCGGGGTCAGGCTTCAAGGGGGTGACAGCTCAGAGCCAGCCTCACTTCGTTCCAGGCAACTATGACTCCAGTCGCCCTGCGATGGAGAAAACATGCACTTATTGAGCACCTACTATATACTCCGCTATGAGGGTGGCTGAGGCGGCTAGGATGCAGTCCCGCCTCAGAGAACTGCCACTCTCAGCAGCAGCAGCAATAACAAAAGAGCGAAACACACCTCTTATGAACCTGCTCTGTGCAAGTCAGGGGTCCAGGGGTCTCACTGTGCTGACATACATCCCATGTAAGGACTGACTGAATTATATATCTCAAATGATCGTTGTCCAACAATGAGTCTGAAGCCGTCTTAACTGCAAATTAATGTGATTGTGCCGTATTTTAAATCAGAAACCAAATCTTTCACAAGCATTCATCGGGTGCCCAAGACAAGCGCAGCACTGGACACAGCACAATCAATGATGCAGGCTAAGTGTGTGATATCAACAGCTCCCCTCCACCCCGCACCTAACGTGAGTCACATGCTGGACCACGCTGCGTTTCTGCATCTATCTCAATACTCACCAACCCTGCAAGGTACATATAATTATTCCCACTGCACAGATGGCAAAACAAAGGCTTGAGGATGTCAATTAGCCAGCAGGGGGCAGAAATAAAATTCAAATCAGGACCAAAAGTTTATTCTCAAAGACTGGAAACTGCCTAAAGGTCCAAAAATAAGGGTCTGGATAATCCAATTATGACACAGCCACACCATGGAAACCCATGCAGCTGTTAATAAGGAATGAGGCAGCTCTACGTTAATCATATGAAACGATCACCAAGATCTATTAAGGCGGAAAACGAGGTGCAGAGCGGTGTTCACAGTACGATCACATTTGTGTGAAACTTCTCTGTCATAAGATTCTGGAAGGACATAGGAGAAAGTGATCCTGGTGGTCACCAGCAGGAAGAGAGGCTGGGGAGCTTCGGGGTGGAGGTATTTCACCAGGCACGCTTTGGTAGCGTTGAAATTTGTTGCCACATGCATCCTTTACCTTTCAAAAGTATTTTAAAGTCCCCAGTGTGCCCGCTTCCCCACACATGCCTCCTGGCTGACCATCTGTGCCCTGGGGAGCTTCACACCCACCCAAGAAGGCATACACATGTGGAAAAGTGAGTGACTGGGGCAAAGCGGGGATTGGGGAGGGGGGGATGGGAGAGGACTCAGCCTTGAATTGGGGATGCAGGGGACAGAGCCCTGGGTTGAGGGCTGTGGTGAGCTGGAGTCAGGGCAATGATAGGGTGCGGGGCAAAGGGGAGACCAGGCCTGGACCTGGCTCAGGAGGGGAGAAGAGCAGAGTCCAGAGGATGGTGCCACCCAGGAGACACAGGGGAGCTGGGCGGGAAGGTCGTGAGTGCAGTGCACACAGCTCTGGCAAGGGGACGGTGTCCTTGCAGCCATCCCGGTAGAAAACTCTCTGCCCTTCATCAGTACCAGAAGCCTTGGCTGGACACCAGCCTCCTCTGCTGAGCTGATGTGCCAATAAATGCTTGTTGGCAGATCAATTAAACCATCTAGGAATGACGTCTGGAACGACAGTTTCCCTGGCTCGAAGCAGGTGGACAAGGCTTCCCTGCCCGCTGGGCCTGAGATCCTGGGGTACCCGCTCCCTGTCCCCGCTTAGTCAGCCCTGGGCTCGGACACCTGCTCTTTGGAATCGGCGGGCACAGTGGAGGCAGCAGGGCCGACCTAGGTAGCAGGAGGCACGGCAATGGTCCCGACGACCTGGGTTTCAGGGCAGTTCTGCCACTGGCTATAAGATGGGTTTAATAACAATGACGTTGCCTCAAGGTTTATTGCGTGGGCTGAAAAAAAAAGAAAATGAGTAAAACACTTGGCCCAGGGCACAGAACTTGGGTGGAATCCCCCAAATGTATAATTATTATGACCCTCAAATCAAAGCTGCTCCGTCTGGGGTCCCCTCTCCTCTTGGTGGGCTGGAGGTGAAACCGGGGAGGAGGGACAGCATCTCAGGGCTTCCTCCAAACTCACCGCTGAAGGAAAGGGTCCAGTCCTTTGCTGAGTGGCCACCCAGCCAGGTGGAGCAGCCTCTCCTATTCCTTCTCTTCCTGCCTTGTCTGTAAACGTCTCCACAAGGGACCACTAAGCCAGTGTGCCTCAGTTTGATCCAGTTATTAGCTGTGTGACCTTGAGCAAATTACTCAAGCTCTCTGGGCTTCAATTTCTTCATCGGAAAATGAAGATGCTAATAAAGGTATTAGCTCAAAGAGTTGTTACAAGGATTAAACGAATTAAAATTTGTAAAGTGCTTAGAATCTAGCCCAGCACAGACTAAGTATCAGAGAAGTGTTGTTAGCGTGGCGCTGTGATTGCTGTTATTATTTGACCCTGGACCCAGTCATCCGGAGCCAGCTGGCCTGTCTGCCTGGCCTCGGTTCTGCACTTCCCAGCTCACTCGGATGGCAGAGCCCCTGGGCATCCTGCAGCTCTCTACTGTAAACCCCCCAAGACGCTGAGCTGTTTCGTTCCATGGTGTAGCCGAAGAACACATCTGTAATAGGAAAAATGCACTTCCAGGAGCTCTTGTCCTCCACAAACACATACTTCAGAGTGACAGACAGTCTGCTCTTCCTAAGTCTTGCTTTCATAGTCATAAAAATCAAAAATTGAGAAAATCATGCCCATTAACTTCCTTCCTACACATTAGAAGGGAAGTCTCTTATTGAGGCCACTTTTGTTTTTATCCAGAGGTGAAGCCCCGGACCTGGCCCAGCTCACCTAGTTAGTCAAAGCAGCGAGCACCGGTCGCTGTGGCCCTGCTCTGTGCTGGCGAGCTTTATCACGCCTGTTTTACAAAGGAGAACACTGAGGTCCAGAGCGAGGAGGTAATCATCGTCCAGGGCCTCCTGGTGAGTCCTGGGACCAAACTCTAACCCCATCTGTTCTACCCCGCATGGCCTTGTGGGGAAGCAACCCCAGAGAGCGGCCCTGCTTTTCTGCCCTAGAGCCTGTCTCTAACTGTGGTCACCTAACCCCCTTGTTGGGTCTGAATTTGGGGACCCACCTTCGTGGCCACAACCAATTGGCTCATAATTCTTTTCATGCACAGAATTCCACCTTGGGTCACCCTACCTGCCCCAGAGACTCCCTAGGGCCAAACCCTTCTCGGTGTCCCGGGATCCGCTGGACTGCAGCCCAGGTCACTAGCTACAGGCATCACACAGTCCCTTCCCAACCAGCCCGTCAGACTCCCCTCAGCCTGTTCTTTGGTGGCTCACCCTGTAGTCAGGGCTTGTTCAAAAAAGCTGAGCTCCCCCTTTCTGCAATCACACCCTGCCCAAGATAGGGAACATCACTCCTATCTGGAGAAGGGGCCAGCACCATAGCACTCAAGCCTAATCCTGTCACCCAACAGGGGATGCCACAGGCTCGCATCATATGACATCCTGGCCTGGTCTCCCCTTGCCTCCTGGATGGGCTTTCTAGCCTCAGCCAACCTGAAAAAGTCACTGCCGACAGGGAGGACAGAATGCTCCAAGTTTTAGTCTCACCAAGCAGCTCCAGCCACCTGAAGGACCCAAGAGCTCAGAATGCTCTGATCACGACCGTCCTCTCCCACCCAGCCTCCACCCCCCACAGCACAGCAAGCGGAACACCATGGCTTGAATACCCTTGATCCTATCCTTCGTGGCTGCAACCTTGTTAGCACCTTAGTTTTGTGCCAGTAAACGAATCAGCAGACAATAGTCCAAGTGTGAATCAATACCCAAGAGGAAGCCCACCTTGGGGGCCCAATGGTTGGCTCAGGTAATTCCTCTGGGTATCAGTGCCAGCCTTTAATCCCAGCTACCATAGCATTGGTGCCGTCACGCAAGATCTCACAGCAGCTATGAAAGGGACCTGACACTGTCCCATTTTACAGATGAGTAAAACGAGCCCTAAAGCATTAGAGTGACTCACCAAAGACACAAAACCACTGAGCATTGGGGATGCAGTGGGAAATGAGGCATGTCAGATCCCAGAGCCTGGGTACACCAAGGCCATCCTCGTAGTCCAGTGATCAGCTCTGGCAAGTAGATTTTCCAATTCCATTTAAAGAGAGTATTTGTTGTTGCTGTTGGTTTTCTAAGCACTGGGGTTTGCCTGGTCATCATGTCTTTGAGGGTTCTCAACATTCTCCACAAGGCACTGCGGTGACTAAACTAGCCCGATTCAGGACACACTCATCCTCTCTTTACTTAACCAGTTAATCAGAGAAAACAGGCCACTCTGCCATTCAATGGCAACCTGAGTCCAACAACCACGGAAATGAAACATGAGCAAAAGTGTCGCCAATTGTACCACAGAGTGGAGCACACCAGCCACTTTCTGGTGGTCTGTCACCCTTGAAAATGGTCAACCCACGCTAACCTGAGTCAACGTCAATTTTTACTTGAGTAAAATCTTGTTCTTGACCTCTTTTCTGGAGTGTCACTCTCAGCCCCTCAGCCAAAGGGGGGAGCATGGGAAAAGAGTGGGCTTCGGAGGCTGACACACCTGGGGAGGTTCGGGCTCTGGTTCTCCATAGCTCTGCTCTTGAGTTTCTCTTCTCTGAAGAGGGGCAATTATATCTCTCATTTAAAATGAATAAGCTAGGGGCTTCCCTGGTGGTGCAGTGGTTGAGGGTCCGCCTGCCGATGCAGGGGAGGTGGGTTTGTGCCCCGGTCCGGGAGGATCCCACATGCCGCGGAGCGGCTGGGCCCGTGAGCCATGGCCGCTGGGCCTGCGCGTCCGGAGCCTGTGCTCCGCGGCGGGAGAGGCCACAGCAGTGAGAGGCCCGCGTGCCGCAAAAAAAAAAAAATAAATAAAATGAATAAGCTGGAATTCTGGCTTTAAGCGCCCAGCACTGGGAGTTTCGTCAGGGGTGTGGCAGGAAGCCTGTTTGGATGAGGTGTGTACAAGCTCACAGGTGACTGACTCCAGGCCCCACTCGGCTGGGATTCAACACGGGACAGGCGAACACATGCACCTCTGTCCAGAGGCCACCCTGCCTCCCTAAGTGACTCCCTCCTAAAACCAAGAACTATTTTCGTTACTAGGATTTCTAAGCTGCCTCACAGGATGGTTGTGTATATTAAATGAGAGGAGGCCTTAGAGCTGTCAGCAGTCAAACGCAGCAGCCTGTGGGCTTCTGTGCAACCTGCGAGGGTGTTTTGTGTGTCCACACGGTGTCTTAAGCCACTGCCAACGTTAAAAATTGGAATAGTTCACACAAAATCTAGATTTCTAGGTCCTCTTGAAAGAAATCAGAAGATTCCACAACTTGCGGCTCTCATTCCCATGAGGCAATAATCAGCCAGATGCCCCCTTTAACAGAGAGCTCAGCAGGAAGACCTAGATTTGAGTGTTCAGCCCCTGCATACAGTAGGTGTTCAATAAATGATAGTTATCACTACTTATTATTTATCAGTAACTCGAGTGCATGGGATTCAAGTGCAGGGACTGTGTCTTCTACTAGTCACTCTCCTCCCACTGTGAACTTGAAGCCAGAAACACGGGAGACATCGTTTTGCACAACCCTTACAGCGACTGAAACGTTCGTAATTTTAGCATCAACACCCAAATCACTTATTAGGCGCCACTTCTAAGCACTGTCCTAAGCACGTCACATATATTATTATCTTATTTGACTTCTCACAACAACCCAGAGCTAGATTACTATCATTGAGCCACTTTCGCAGAAAGGGAAACTGAGGCACACGCCAAGATCACCCAGCAAGCAGAAAAGAGTCAAGGTCCAAACCCAGGAGCCTGGCCTCGGAGTCCACGTCCTCACCACGAGTTCAGGATTATCCCAAGTGCTGATGGAGGATGGGGCCTCAGGAGGATGCTTTCCCCCGTCTCCCCGCCCCCCCAGTTCTGCCTGGGACAGGCAGCCTCTGGACCCACCCCTGCCCACCCCTTCCCCCCCTCAGCAGGCTGCACTTACGGTCAAGGCCATTGATGTAGCGCATGGTGACTTCACAGTGGCCCCACACAGCACTCACCACCGGGTAAAGCTTCTTGCCCTTGAGGCCACGGAAGGCCACGCCCAGGTACTGGCCGTCCACGACGAAGCTGAGTGTGCCCTCGTCCATGTCCAGCACCACGAGCAGCGAGTCGGGCAGCGCGAAGGCCTCATCGGGCCCCAGGAAGGCGGGGTAGGCCACGCCGGGTCGGTTCTTGCCGTCGTGGTAGAGGCGGCTGCGGCCCAGGTCCCAGCCCCAGGACTCGGCGTCGCTGCCCACCAGTGCCGTGTAGCCCACCGAGTGCAGCGGGGCCCGCGCCGTGGCCACGCCCACCACAGCGTGTGTGCCCCGCTGCCGCGCCGGCCAGTAGATCTGCCAGGCGTGCAGGCCGCGGGCGTGGCCCACCTTGCCGCGGATGCCGTCCGTGCTCTGCGCCACCGGGTGCCGGTGGAAGGTGAGCCGGTCGTCATCCTTGACGAAGACGTTGAGCGAGCGGTCCTCGGGGTTCCACGCGTGGCGCAGCTGCACCGCCAGCCCCGCTGCCGGCATGTCCAGCAGCTGGTCCAGCCGCGCCGGCCGCCCCGGCTCCGCTCCCCGCAGCTCGCGCTTGGCCGGCCGCAGCGCCGGCTCTCGCACCTCCACCGACTTGAGGCTCCCCGAGAGCTTCTGGCCCATGGCTCGCTGCCGGGACGGGGCCGCTGCGGGCCACCGCTACCTCGTGGGAGCTTCCGGTCCCCGCAGCCAGGGATGGGCCACGGGGCTGGAAACCAGGCTTCCGGACCGTACACGTCCACAGCCTCTGCGGGGCTGGGGCAGGGGCCCAAGCTCCTGGAAGGAAGCAAAGGACGCGGGTTATTACAGCAGCCTCGACAGCCACTTATGCCCATGCCTTGGCTGGGCCCTGGGCGTGCATTAATAACAGTAACTAATGAATCGAATGATATCTGGCACTTATCTAGAACTTGCCATATGCCAGACACTGTTTTAAGTGATTCATATTTATTAGCTCATTTAATCCTTAAGACCTCCCTATAAGACATTCATTATCATTCCCATTTTATAGATGAGAAAAGTAAAGAGTATAGAGGAGATAAGTAATTAACCAACGTCCTACGGTTAAGAAGGGGTTGAGCCCAGATTCACACAGGCCATCTGGCTTCAGAGTCTGTGTTCGGCTCTTAGAGTAGTCACAGGCAATTTTATTTCAGAAATAAGCACTGAGCCCAGAGAAGTTTGATTTGCTCAAGATCACAGAACATAGAGAACCCCAATGCATTTGGTCCCAAGAAACAAGCCCTGTGCCAAGGTTGGGGGGGACAAAGTGCCCAAGACAGGGGGTCAAAGATGTTTAGGGTGTGGCCCATTGGTTCCCATCCCTGGCTGCCCTGGGGAGCTTAAGCAGCATTTAAAGTGCAGCCAGGCTTGAGAAGCCAGACACTGAGCAAGGAGCCACCAAGGTCACCCAGGGACGTGGACACGGACATAAGATAACCATCTGAGGATGGGGTGGGGTCTCCATGGGAAGGTGAGTTGGAGGCAGGGGGATGAGAGAGTTGATGCCCCGACTCTGGAGCCAGCGAGAAGTATATGCAAATCCCTCTCTCCATCGCTTAGCTGTGTGTCCACAGGAAGGACTCTTTGCCTCTCTAAGACTCCAGTTTCCTCATTTGTTGAATGGGGGTAAAATGCTCCCTCCAGGTGGTGTGGGAAGCTAAGAGACAATATCAAAAGTCAAGCCTGAGATTCTGCGGGCAGGTTTTCCTCTCTGGCTCTATCTTCTGGGCATCCTGCATATACACCTTCCCTTTGGATGGGCTAGCTCTTTCTTTAGGCATATAAACATAGTTAACAGCATTGACCCTGGGCAACCTCCGCTGAGACAAGATCCTGGTTTTCAGGACTTGGCCGCCATCACTAAGAGACTAGCCAGAATCCAGGGTGCTTGCGCTGTTTGGATGGGCCCCGGGTGTGGGAAGAGATGGAGAGCTGAGCCCTGCAAGCTGTCCAGAGCAGAGGTGTGTGTCCTCCCCTCCCTGGTCTGAGAGCTCCTAGGCTTTCCTTGAGATAGATGAGGAGGCAGATATTTTTCATGCCCTGCTCTGCCTGGCCATGACCTCCCACCCAAACAGTGGCACAGTCCCAGCCAAAGTGCCATGCGGCACAGGCAGCAATAATATGCCTTGCTTTTTTAACCCTCCAATTTTATTCTCGACTCCCATTTTCTTTCCTTTCTACGGTCAGACCCCAGCTTCAGCTCATGCTGACCCTATCCAGAGAGTTCTGGCTAATGTTTCAGGAAATACCAGAATACATAAAAATGTACAACACTAGACAGTTCTAAGAGAGCAGAATAGTTACTCCTTTTCATATCCAAAATCACCCAAAATAAAGGAGAAAGAGAAAGAGGAATGCAAATTTTTTCTTCAGCAAAACTAGAACACATTTGTAATCCAACCACAACTTATAAAGAGAGGCTGCCAAAAAAATGGTCAAGCGTTGCCAAAACCACTGAAGATCAAACGAGGTGTGAGAAAACACCTACAGAAGACACCTGTGGCTGCAGATCTCAGTTGAAGATGGCAGAGCCAGCCAGTAGCTGGCACTCCCTGAAGGAGAAGACCAATGATTCCTAATCAGGAACAATGGGAACAGGGTATGCGGTCTAGCCGTGGGAGCTGCCTCTGACACTGTGGGGAAAGAGGAGGGCAGGGCTAATAGAGAAAACTTTACAGGTCTGCCATCTTCACAGGAAGCAGTGTGCTGCTGAGGCAGAGCGGGAGAAGGGCCTGAACTGGGGGAAGCCCAGGGCTGCAGATCTCTGCTGACTGGGTAGAAGCTAAAAGAAATCACAAACACAGTCCTGTGAACAGAGTTACCAGGAACCAGGGAGCAATCCTGCTCTCCTAAAATACCTCCTGGCATCTCCTCTACATGCATCCCTTGCAAAATGCTGATTCAGGAAGGTCCGCCTCTTCTAACTAGGAACCAGCACATGATGTAGTCAAAGATGCTGGAAAAGAAACAGAGGAGGAACAGAACACGGAAAAATATGGTAAGCCAAGAAAACTCACCGTAAGAAAAAGCTGTCACAAAGCAGATAAAAATTGGGAGCAAATTTGTAAACTAATTTTGTGATCACTTATTTGAGAAGGGAGACAACTAGTACAGCCTAAAAAAAAAAAAAAAATACATTTTTACATAGTTACAAAGGCAACGTCCAGAAGAACTCCAGAAGAATAAAATACAGATCTTCCAAACTGTCAAAAAGAACACGAAATAAAACACCATACTGAAAGATTTTGCTTTAAGAAGCAATAGAGACCAAGAACCAAGATGGCGGAGTAGAAGGACGTGCTCTCACTCCCTCTTGCGAGAGCACCAGAATCACAACTAGCTGCTGGACAATCATCAACAGGAAGACACTGGAACTCACCAAAATAGATACCCCACATCCAAAGAAAAAGGAGAAGCCGCAATGAGATGGTAGGAGGGGTGCAACCACACTAAAATCAAATCCCATAACTGCTGGGTGGGTGACTCACAGAATGGAGAACACTTATACCACATAAGTCCACCCACTGGAGTGAAGGTTCTCAGCCTCACGTCAGGCTTCCCAACCTGGGGGTCCGGCAACGGGAGGAGGAAATCCTAGAGAATCAGACTTTGAAGGCTAGCGGGATTTGATTGCAGGACATTGATAGGACTGAGGGAATAGAGACTCCACTCTTGCAGGGCACACACAAAGAAGTGTGTGCATCAGGACCCAGAGGAAGGAGCAGTGACCCCATAGGAGACTGAACCAGACCTAACTGCTAGTGTTGGAGGGTCTCCTGCAGAGGCGGGGGGTGGCTGTGGCTCACAGTGGGGACAAGGACACTGGCAGCAGAAGTTCTGGAAGTACTCCTTGGCATGAGCCCTCCCAGAGTCTGCCATTAGCCCCACCAGAGAGCCCAGGTAGTCTCCAGTGTTGGGTTCCCTCAGGCCAAACAATCAACAGGGAGGGAACCCAGCCCCACCCATCAGCAGTCAAGCGGATTAAAGTTTTACTGAGCTCTGCCCACCAGAGGAACAGTCAGCTTTACCCACCACCAGTCCCTCCCATCAGGAGACTTGCACAAGCCTCTTAGATAGCCTCATCCACCAGAGGGCAGACAGCAGAAGCAAGAAGAACTACAGTCCTGCAGCCTGTGGAACAAAAACCACATTCACAGAAAGATAGACAAGATGAAAAGGCAGAGGGCTATGTACCAGATGAAGGAACAAGATAAAACCCCAGAAAAACAACGAAATGAAGTGGAGATAGGCAACCTTCCAGAAAAAGACTTCAGAATAATGATAGTGAAGATAATCCAGGACCTTGGAAAAAGAATGGAGGCAAAGATCAAGGAGATGCAAGAAATGTTTAACAAAGACCTAGAATAATTAAAGAACAAACAAACAGAGATGAACAATACAATAACTGAAATGAAAACTACACTAGAAGGAATCAATAGCAGAATAACTGAGGCAGAAGAACGGATAAGTGACCTGGAAGACAGAATGGTGGAATTCACTGCCATGGAACAGAATAAAGAAAAAAGAATGAAAAGAAATGAAGACAGTCTAAGAGAACTCTGGGACAACATTAAATGCAACAACATTCGCATTATATGGGCCCCAGAAGGAGAAGAGAGAAAGGACCAGAGAAAATATTTGAAGAGATTATAGTTGAAAACTTCCCTAACATGGGAAAGTAAATAGCCACCCAAGTCCAGGAAGCACAGCGAGTCCCATACAGGATAAACCCAAGGAGAAACACGCCGCAACACATAGTAATCAAATTGGCAAAAATTAAAGACAAAGAAAAATTATTGAAAGCAGCAAGGGAAAAATGACAAATAACATACAAGGGAACTCCCATAGGGTTAACAGCTGATTTCTCAAAAGAAACTCTATAAGCCAGAAGAGAGTGGCATGATATACTTAAAATGATGAAAGGGAAGAACCTACAACCAAGATTACTCTACCCAGCAAGGATCTCATTCATATTCGATGGAGAAATCAAAAGCTTCACAGACAAGCAAAAGCTAAGAGAATTCAGCACCACCAAACCAGCTCTATAAGAAATGCTAAAGGAACTTCTCTAAGTGGGAAAACAAGAAAAGAAAAGGACCTACAAAAACAAACCCAAAACAATTAAGAAAATAGTCATAGGAACATACATATCGATAATTACCTTAAACGTGAATGGACTAAATGCTCCAACCAAAAGACACAAGCTTGCTGAATGGATACAAAAACAAGACCCATATACATGCTGTCTACAAGGGACCCACTTCAAACGTAGGGACACATACAGACTGAAAGTGAGGGGATGGAAAAAGATATTCCATGCAAATGCAAATCAAAAGAAAGCTGGAGTAGCAATACTCATATCAGATAAAATAGACTTTAAAATAAAGAATGTTACAAGAGACAAGGAAGGACACTACATAATGATCAAGGCATCAAACCAAGAAGAAGATATAACAATTATAAATATATATGCACCCAACATAGGAGCACCTCAATACATAAGGCAACTGCTAACAGCTCTGAAAGAGGAAATCGACAGTAGCACTATACTAGTGGGGGACTTTAACAGCTCACTTACACCAATGGACAGATCATCCAAAATGAAAATAAATAAGGAAACAGAAGCTTTAAATGACACAATAGACCAGATAGATTTAATTGATATTTATAGGACATTCCATCCAAAAACAGCTTACACTTTCTTCTCAAGTGCAAATGGAACATTCTCCAGGATACATCACATCTTAGGTCACAAATAAAGCCTCAGTAAATTT